GCAGGAGCTGGTCTTTTGAAACCAAGTCTTCGGTGCTCGAAGTTGTATCCCTCTTCCTCTGAACATCTGCTTAAAGATGCTGCCATGATGGAGAAGGGACATGCTAATAGGAAAAGCACATGCTAATGCGCTTTCAGAAGTTGGGGCCCGAGAGTAGACAATAAATTCCCAAAGTTTGGTGTGCAGTTACTGACTGTTAGAACGATGGAGGAAAATCTAAGAGTGTATTAATAATTCCCACTATCACTGACCTTGAACAAGTCACTGCTCTTCAGTTTCCCCATCTGTAGAATGGGGATAATAATACTTTCATCAAAGGAGCATTGTGCAGTGTGATTAATTAATGTTTTGAGATCTGTAGCTGAAAAGACCCTTTTGAAGTGCAAATTACTGTTATCTCTGAGGTGGCTGATGATATTAAATAGTTGTACAACATCACACATGCGTCACTTCCAGGCAGTAAAGAAAGAAAAAGCTCTACTATAATCCTTTTAAATGACTTTATTTTAATTAAAATTCTCAAAGAGTCCCACAATATCAGGCAATGTTTTGGCAGCAGAGAGCATTCTTTTCATACTGCCTGGATGTGACAGATGTGCGACGTTGTAGCTTCCTTTGAAAATCAACCATTTGCGAAGCTGGTTTGAAAGACCCGCTACCTAACTAGTCTGCACTCTGGTAATTATTAAGGTTTATTATTTTCGGTGAAGCACAGCCTAAAGATTCTGATTAGAATAGCCGTAGAAATAATAGGGTTTCCAGAAAGAGAGAGATTCTCTTAAAGATTAAAAATAACCGGGGATAAAGTGTTACTAAATACTGTATTTGATCATGCATATGAACATTTGTGCTTGGCTTCTTTGTTAGCAAGTCACTTCAGGTTCTCATCCTCTGATACCGTGGGTGGAGGGGGAATACATACACTTTTAACAGTAGTCATTGCCAGGCAGCTGGCCCCTCTGAGAGGGAGCGAGCACATCAGCCGGGGGAATGTCGCAAGCACCGCCTCGTGCCACCAGAAGGGCTCCCACAAAGGAGATTTTTGGCACTTCTGCTGTTCCTCTGAAATGCCTTTGGGTGCAGGAGGAAAGCACCAGCATTTGGAATAAAAGATCTCAAAGATGCACTTTCTCTATAACATTTCCAGGCCTGATGCTCATTGCAGCCTCGTGCATTTACAGTGCAAAGGGATGTTGAACTGAATCTGAAAATACCTTGTCCTTATTTTAGCATCTTCTTTGTGCCATCTCAAGTGTTCACTGAAGGGTGGTACAAAACTCAGCTGTTCAATTCCCCCCAGGGTTTCAGCCTGCTGAATTCTGAATCATAAGCTTTGAGATCTCTCAGCCCATTAATTCCAATTAAAAATCATGTTCTGCCTGGAGTTTGGCAGCCTTCGGGGGCAGGAATGTTCTGTGGTTTCTCCCTACCGGTACTCATGCCTTCTGTAGTCACCCCCAGTGCTGTATGAACTTGTAACATAGAGTCAATCGTAACTGAACCATTTTATCGCTTTTATTATAGGAATGGAGGTGGCCGCAGTGGGACATTTTGTGCAATCAGTATTGTTTGTGAAATGCTTCGACATCAGAGGGCTGTTGACGTATTCCATGCTGTGAAGACACTGAGGAATAATAAGCCTAACATGGTGGACCTTCTGGTACGAGCTTTTTAACTGCACCACTAAATAGAAAATGTTCCTTTTTCTCAGAAGACTCAGTAAGATTTCCAGGATTTGCAGTGGGAGTTGTTCACAAAGCAAGCAAGTCATTTTCAAAGGGGATAATGAAGTCACTTCACTTGTAAGAGTATTTTTACACTGCTTTCTTCCCGAGGAGACTTTGTCTCTGTTCATTTGAATTTTTTAAGAGTTTTAAACTTTCAGCCGAACATCCTTATTAATTTTCTTTTCTAGCAGGCTGAGCCAAGTGGAGAGCAGCCCTTGCATGGTAGAAATAATAGTTATGTAAAATGAAATGCCAGATTTTCAAATTATATATTTTATAAATAGCTTAATCGCCTAATATTTATCAAAGCCACGAATTTCAGTTTGACATCCAGAATATTGCATTTAATTATGGTTGCTCTATCTCATAGAAAGATTAAAGAAGTTCAGAAACAAGTGGCCATGTACAATTCTTTTCCTAGAGAGTGTTTTATGAGCTTTTTTTTTTAAAATGGAGAATTGCTGAAGTGCCAGCTGCTATGCCAGAAGAGCTGCAGAACAGCTTAAACCAGCAGGTTCTTATACTCCAGTGTGTAGTTCTGTAGTTGGAGATGGGTGTAGTGTGATACCCTATTCTGAAGCCTGGGTTATAAAAGACACTGGTTTACAACATCCTGCTGTAGAGGTGGCTGCTTAAGAGGCAGCTGTGTTCGATTTAGCATCATAGGCAGGAGGAAGCAGCATCTGGGCAGCTTCAGGGATGCTAAACCAATCTGAGCTAATTTTGTAAGTTCTGGTTAAACAAGTTAGGGTCATATTTCACTGTCTTTGCTACAGAGTGCCCGGGGTGAGGCAGGAGGCATCTCGCAGAGCTGGTCCAGCCTCTTGCACTTTGAGGAGAGATTCTCCTCTGTCAGACGAGCTACTGAGATCTGGGTGTGAAACACACTGGAGAATGGGCAGAAAGCAGGAATTTCTTCGGGGAAGGGTGAGGCGTTCAGGCTCATGTGTAGGTGGGTAGGGTTATCCGCTTCCCCACCACACGTATCGTTGGACCTCATCTGTCCCACAGAAGAATGGCTCCCACCACGTCCTCCGTTGCAGTGCTCTCATCCAGCCTACCTGTGAAGTCCCAGAGCCTCCCTTAGGCCCTGCTCTGGCCAGGCTCATGGAAAAAAGCCAGATGTTGCCGGCTGCGCAAAGCAAGGAGGGGGGTTACAAGCAGCACCACAGAGCCAGCAATGTGGAACTGTGAATCTTCTATCAGTGAGAAACTATCACGCTTTCGCAGTGGTGGGAGGGAGCAGCTGAGTTGGCTTCTCTTCCTCTAGTTTATATTCTCAGGAGGAGAATCATCATGCTGAGCGCCATACGTTTTTATTTCCTAGATATTAAGAAAAATGTCCTACTTCTTCATTCAGATAGTGTAGTTTGGATAGAGACTTGGCAGGCCTGCTGTTCTCTGTTCTCCCAGAGCTTAAGTCCACAGAACTCACTGATCTCTTATTCATTTATTTTATAGAAATAAAAAGAAAATTACCAGTATGAAGATGTACAGTTGAAGAAAATGCTCTCTATAAATTCCCATTTGTGACAGTTCACCAGGTATAGATTTGCCAGGCAGCTGTCTCCATTTTTCAGCAGAGAATTTTTTTAATCAAAAGCTAAATGTATTATTTTAGAGTGTAAGAATAGCTTTTAGTAAATGGACCATGGTATTGAGAACGTCTGGACGCCATTGAGAGGCCTGCTAGGTCTATCCATTAGGAGATTTCAAAGCACTTGTGAAGGTGATCACTATTGTTTTCCTTGTTTTACAGACAGAGGAACGAAGGCAGGGGACAATCAGGATTTTTCCCATTATCATGTAATTCACTGACAAAGCAGAGTTAGATCCACATCTCTTCAATCTTAGTCTGCTACTTCGTAGGAACAAATATTTGAATTAGCGAGGTTTCGATTTCCATGTAGATCGTTTCATGGTAAAAGGGAATTGGGACACTTGAGTTCTTTTCCTGATCCCGTTACTGACTTTACCCTTTCCGACCTTTCTTATATTAACGTCTCTTTGCCTCAGTTTCTGTATCTGAAAAATGAGAACAGTAGTATTCATCTACCTTTGTAAAATTCTGTGGTGAAAGATGAAATGCTCAGAATTATAACAGTGTTTCACAAAAATAATTTCCAGGCTGCTTTATCAATACCTGTTATGCATCTTCTGACTAGAGGAAGGTCAATCTTTACGGCCCCTATTTAGAGATTCATCTCTTAATTCATTGAAACCTTTGCTTTTCCTGCAAGTGTACAAATCTGAATGCCACATCCATACAATATGGAAATCTGTTAAATTCTTCAGCCATCATACAAAGGTAATACATGGTATCACAAAATGTCTGTTACAGAAAGCCCAAAGTATTTTGTGATAAATGTTATTGGACCTACCCATAGGTGTCCTAGGAAAAAAAATGTAAATATACCTCTCTGAAGCTAGCTAACGTAAAGAGACTTTTAATATCCACCATCAAGTGAATAATAAAAGTGTACAAAGGACACGTGAGTGAACACAGTGGGAAATAATATATATCTGCTCTTTAAGACAGGCATTTAGTTTACTAAAAAGGACAGTTATTCTGCTGGATCAGTAAATCAGCATAAAATGAGCATGGAAAATGGAAATGGATGAGTGGCTGATCTCTTGTTTTGATCTGTTATGAAGTTATAGAATAATCTTCATTTATTTAGAAACACATACGCAATAAAAGCAGAAAAGGAATAATTTACATAACACTCCTCTCTTTCCTTTCTTCTTTTCTATTCTTTTCTCATTCTGAAGAAGACACAAGCAGTTCATGGAAGCGTGCAGGATCTTAAAACCTCACACACAACTCGTTCATAACTTAGGTGATATGTGCACCTAAGATCTGTTTTCTTTTAAAGCAACAGCTCTCAACAAAAGAACTTAGAAATTGTCCGTGCTTGCTAATAGCTTTTTGACTGTTGTAATATTATTTGGTCTCGTACATGTTAAGGCGGACTCTCTTCTCAGCTAAAATGTGACCCAAAATCACAAGTACAGGCCGAAAGAGTTAATCCTTTAAAATGCTTGTGTCGATGGAAAGGAGAATGTACCTGAAGCGTAATCGTGATCTTCCTACTTGCGATGTTGGGAAGGTGAAGGCTGAGTGCTGTCAGCTAGTTAAGTCTGTTGTTGTTCCTATATGATAACACATGCTTAGGTATCTTTTATTAATTGATTAAAGTGCATAAGAGAAAGAGGCATTTCAGTGGCAGAAATACTCATAAAACTGGCAGGTATTTCCAAACTGAATTTTTAGAAGTCAGAGCCCTTGGATTCAGGAAACCTGCACCTACTATTTCTTTCAGCTTTTTTGTTTCATTTAAATAGTTGTGATACTGCAAAATACTGCAATATTCCCTGGGACCAGCTCTGTTTCCAAGCAGTTGCAAATAAAACCGGCGGGGCTGTGTTTGACGCACAGGGCTGGCACCTGAGGACTTGGCCTGGGTAACAGAAGAGCTGTTAAAGAGCCTAACATATGCATCACCATTAATTGCTTAAAATTAATTGGAATTAATTCGATTAATTTAGCTCAGGCCTGATCTCGCAGGCCTGTTGCACTGGAAGGGGACAGTATTTCAGCGTGGGTTTGGGCTGCCCATAGAGGAGGAACAGTAAGCAGCTCTTGCCCTGAAATGTAGCAAGTGTATGAACGGCATTAAAATAAAAGTTGCAATCTGGGAAGTACTAGACGCTGGATCTATTTTAAGATAAACATTTCCAGGGAGGAATTTCAATAACTCCAGTTCCGGTAAAGTGCTACATGAGCATTTTGGCAGATGACAGAAGGGTTGCAAGTCAATTTGCTTGCGCATAGTCAATTTTTCTCATACAGGCGTATTAGAGCAGCTAAATACACATCTGATATGAGCAGTGCCGTAAGTTACGGTGTGGTAGTGTCTATTGTCTGGTTAATACAAAGATTTTCTTACCTGAATATAAATCGGATTTGCAAACTGGTTCCCATTGACAACAGCTGACAGTAAGTAATTTTAACAGAAGAGAAATATTGATCCCCTTAATTAAGTTCCTTCAATAACTGACTTTGTGGTTTTTCTTTTGATTTTTCAGGATCAATACAAATTCTGCTATGAAGTGGCTTTGGAATACTTGAATTCCGGCTGATGGCGTAACCAGCACAAAGTCCCTCCTTTCACCACCGCAAACAAAGCAAGTCGCTTCATGATATCTGTGTAAATGAGGTGAAGACTTCTCAGTGTTACGCTTATACTGCTTTGTACAATTGGCTCTTTTTAAGAGCCCCAAAAGATGTTTATAAAACCGCTTGCACTGCCCATTTTCCACTCTAATGCCGCTGCTTGACACCCATACGACCGTACACCGAACCACATGGCAGTTGTTGAACACTGTATCATACATAGCCATTGACGTGGTGAAGCAGCATAGTCCTCTGGTAAATAAGAGAGCACAATTATATTCTTATGAAGGAATTTGTACTTTTCGGTTATATTTCGTTGCCTGTGATTCTCAGTTATTGTCACAGCCTAGTGTACATTTCTGTTCTGTGGAGAATGCTGTCCGGCATTTTGATAATAAATGATTTTAGTTATATTTGTATTCTAACACGTGCATAACAAATGAATCATATGTAGCTTATCTGAACTAATGGAAAGACATGTACTAAATCATGTTAACTTTGTTGAGCTGTAATTTCTATCCACTTTGTACCATTTCAGAGAGAGAATCTTGATAGAAGTACAGTTAGAAAATGCAAAATACAGGATGCTCAGATTAATATATCCAAAGCTTTTTCATTTGTTTATATTGTAAATATTTTTTGATTTCATCAAATTATTTATTCATTAAAATGAATTTTTTTGTGAAGCACAGTGAGTGACAATCATTTTTATTAAGCCCTGGAAATGCTTACTGTATGATAGTGTAAACATTTGTTTACCTTGTATGGATTCTCAGCTCAATAAATAATTACATACGTGATAAAATCTCGTTTAATATCTCTTGGCATCCGAGGGCCTTCAGCTAAGCCTCTTTTCAGATTAATTCTTGTAAACACTGAGCTACCTCCAGAGCGCGTTTATTGCGTGATCCAGGGTTGATCCAGCCAATAGCAAGACGTGCCGTGCCAACGTATAAAAAGAGGTGAACTGCATGTTTAAAGATGCGCGTGCATAAATGCAGAGCCTGAAAATTGCCCTGCTCTGCAGAGAGGAGATGATGTTGGACTTGCAGTACTCAGTCTTGTCACAAAATTCCTCTGCAGCCCTGAACACGCCCTGCCATGCGCTCTGCGTCTGCTGCTACGGAAGGGGCGATGGTGCATGTGCTCTTGGGAAGAATGGCTGCTGTGAGGGGGAAGTTATTCCTCATGCTAAAAACACCGACGCTAGAATGGCCGGGGCGGGGGGTAAGAAGTGAGCAAAACTGCTCTGTTGCTAGGGCGGTTGCCAGTACTCCAGTGGACAGGTTTACACCATTAAAGGTCTTGCCTGCCCTGAGAATGGCGGTACTGCACTTCCATGGCGTTTGGGATGGTTCCCCTTTCTCCCAAGCACTCACCGGTGTCCAAGCAGGCTGGGATGTGCCTCCTTGTTCATGGGTGTGGGAAGCACAGCAACGAAGCAGCAGGAAAGGGCAAGGAGCCAGAGTGGCTTGCTGCACCGTCCGCTGGAACTGCCGATCTTTCTGTCACCCAGAAGCGTCGAGGAGACATTGGAGACAGCATCTGCTCAATCCTGAAGCCTTCCAAAGCTGGAAGAGATGTCCAATCTAAACCTTCCCATCTGTCCTTCTGAAGTGCTTACACACACGATGGAGGGTGATTAGTGTACTTTGCACAGGTAGGTCTTGGGGGATGAGGCGGGGAAGGACACGAGGAGGAGAGAGTTCTGCAGTGTTTCTTACTGTTTTACTGATACTATGGGGGTTTTTTTGTTCTTCTGACATAGGCATAGCCAAACCCATGTTACACAGTCTGTGTGATGTTGTCCCAAAAGGCATTCTGTGAACTACGATGCCGTAAAAACAGGAGCCAGCTGAAGAAAGCACAGCAAGCAGCTTTGTGCCCTCACTCTCGTACTACAGCTATCAATCAATACAAAGGGTAGAGAAATCCAGGCTTAGGTAAAACAATATTTTGGCAAGAAGGAAAAACAGATGAGGACCTCAGTAGTTACCAGCAGAGAAAACACAAGGAATCGGGAACAGAAAGAAGAGATGTATGTGGGGGGCAGGTATTCAAGTAGCAGCATGGAGCTTATGAAAGTTACCTGGAGGGTGGCATTTTAGAGGAGACAACAGAAAGAAAACAGCAGTGACAGCCATTTTAAGTCTTTGGAAACCAACCTCCCTTTTCAGAAAAAGGTTACACAATCACAAGCCCAGTACAGCTGCAGAGCTTAGGGAGACATCAGTCCTAGTTTGGGAGGAGCAGAGGAAGGGATGGTTTCTTCAGTCCCCAGTACATAAGAGGAATACAGATTAATAAAGAGACACTTTAAATGGTTAGCCACATGTATCGCCCAACTCATCGTCTCTCCAGGACTTGAGGTAGGTGGTTTTTGCTCAGCTATTCTGAAAGAGCAGCAATGGGGATGGTGAGAAAGGTGATCGCATGCAGGTAATCCCTATCTTTTTAACAGCGATGCTCCCAACAGCTTCCTGGGCTGCTTTGTCAGCACAATGAGTCTGGCAGCGGCAGGGTAGCTTCACAGGGCACTAACCCAAAGCTTAAGGCCTGAATAAAGTAAGATTAAAAAAATAAAGCATAGAAAAAACTTCCTACCCAGCTGTACGCAGTGTGGCTCAAAAGGGTCTCCGTGCCACAGGGGCTTGATCTGAAGGCGCTATGCAGCATCGAGACCAGCGTCATTTTGGATTTCTCCTTCAGCTGGTTAGGGCTCATCTTTAATAGCTCTGAAATGTTTGCTTCTCGTTTCACTGTACGTGAGTGTTCCCCCCCAAAATTTTTCTTCTTTGAGCTGTGGCAATGAAGACAAATTGACACTTCCAGCAGCAGCTATTCCAGGCAGCTTCCTTTGGGGAGCCCTGGGAGAGGCTGTAGTGGTAGTAGCAAACCCAAAGCCCCTTGGCATTACTCACTCCAAAACACGGCAAGATGAGCCACTGAGTCTCTTTTCCCCTGTGGTGGTTTTTGTCTCCCCGCCCCCCGCAAATCAAGGGTGACTAAAGGAAAGTAAGTGATTTGAAAGTTTACTTGGGGTTTTACAGCCTCATTAGTTTTCTGATTCAAAGGTAATTTGGTTGCTCTGCCTCCCAGAGTAACTTCTCCAAGCTGTTGTGCATTTGCCTTCAGAAACAGCGAGCTATATAGGCAGATCACTGTAACGGAATGATTCGTCATGTCATTTTACATTTATTGTTGGTTTTACACTTATTTTATCAACTTGGAGCCTTGGACTACAAAATCTCATGCAGCCCTGTCATGGTTTAACCCCAGCCAGCAACTCAGCCCCTCACAGCCGCTCGCTCACTCCCCCATGGTGGGATAGGGTAAAGAATCAGAAGAGTAAAGGTGAGAAAACTCGTGGGCTGAGATAAAGACAGTTTAACAGGGAAAGCAAAAGCTGCGCACGCAAGCAAAGCAAAACAAGGAATTAATTCCCTACTTCCCACAGGCAGGCAGGTGCTCGGCCATCCCCAGGAAAGCAGGGCTCCATCATGCGAAACAGTGACTTGGGAAGACAAACACCATCACTCCAAACATCCCCCCCTTCTTCTTCCCCCAGCTTATATACTGAGCATGACATCATACGGTGTGGGATAATCCCTTGACCAGTTGGGATCAGCTGTCCTGGCTGTGCCCCCTCCCAGTTTCTTGTGCACCTGGCAGAGCAGGGGAAGCTGAAAAGGCCTTGACTGGTGTAAGCCCTGCTTAGCAACAACTAAACCATCAGGGTGTTACCAACATTCTTCTCATATTAAATGAGAACTCCACCCCAGCTGAAACCAGGACAAGCCCCTATCTGATGCCAGACACTCGGCTTTATTAAAAGAAAAATTACATTAGGAGTAGACGAAAAAGGTACAGCTTAGTTCTGTTGTTTGATGCTTGCTAAGGAAGCCAATGACCACTGTCATTTTTGGGGCAGAGTACCAGTAAAACCCAACAGAACATGTAAGAAACAACAAGTCTGCATCTTCCATCTGAGCCTCCGAGGGCCCTCCTGGGAGATGCATTGCCCTCTGGTGCCATGGCCCTGCCTCTCACCCCAGGATCGTGTCTAACCTGCCCCAGGAGCCTCTGTCCCACTTCCTCCCAGTCCTGTCACTGCGGCACATGATGCTCTTTCTGGGTAATACTACTTGAGATAGGTGGAAAGGAGACGGGAGCCTGGAAGAGTTTGGGGTCTGTAAACACCCTGTCATGATTTTATTTAATATTGTTGATAATACTCAATGCAGAAAAGCACAGAAAAGATGGGCTTTGACAATGAAGAGGAAGAGCGATGCTTGCTGTAGCTTGCATCAGGGGAGATTAATATCTCACGTTCACTGACAGTCTTTCCAAGCAGTGGTATTTTTACTCCTAAGACCCTTCTACTGATGTGTTTTCAGTAGCAGCTAGAAGACTTTTAATTGTATCTCTACAGTCATGGTATTTCCAGTAATTGCATTTTTTGTGAAGATGTGCTCAGGGGCCAAAATTAAAGCATAAGTCTCATTCATGCTAGACATACATTAATACTACTGCCAGGCCTGAGTAAATGCAATCAGAACTCCTAGTCCTACAAGCATTTACATTAATATCCTCTTGTCTAGTCCCACTTGTGCAACAAAATCAATCAAATGCTTGCACACATTTTGCATCTGAGCTCATCAGTCCTTGTACATGTCATGTCATGATGCTGTACGGGGTCTGGCTGGGATGATTTCATAGCAGCCCATATCGTGCTGTGTTTTGGATTTGTGACCAAAACGGTGCTGATAGCACACCAGCATTTTAGCTTTTGCTGACCAGTGTTTGCACAGCGTCAAGGCCTTCTCTGTTTCTCGTTCTGCCCCAGCAGCAGGTAGGCTGGGGGTGGGAAAGAGGTTAGGAGGGGACACAGCTGGGACAGCTGACCCCAACTGACTGAAGAAGGAATATTGTAATATTCCATACCATATAACATCATGCACAGCAA